GCTGTGAGAGAAATTCAGGATTCACTTGGTCAGCCCAGGAGAAGAGGAGGGATGAGTAAGACTGGTTGGCTGCAGGTCTGTAGAATGATATTTGTGTTAATGTTTTGCTTTTGAAAGGTATAAAAAATATATATCAGCTGTCTTACTAGAATAATGTTATTTAGGGTGCAAAATAGAGAATTTAGAAAATAGGAAATGTCAGGTTTATGGTATTTCATGGCACTTTTTACCTAAATCTATCTTATAAGTGCATTTGATCAGACATGAATCTTTGTGGGGTCTGTGAAAACAATAGCTGTGGGGAAATATTTCAGTGGATATTTGGGCAAGGCTTATACACGTGACAAAACAGGATTATGGTTTTTCATCCCCAGATTTGTCTTTCTGAGACTGCTGTCCCTGAGGAAAACAAGCAGCTCTGGAACTGGATGGAGCTGGATGTGGGTTGGGATTGTGTGGACTCCAGCACCCTCTAATGGTAGCAGCACTCTCTCCCTGTGCGTCCCTAAATCCTTACAAATCCTTTCAAACTGTGTAATCATGAGAACAATTCTGCTGCGAATGGCCAATTTTTCACTCGATGGCAATTAACAGTTTTGTGCTATTTTAAACAGCTTTAATTGCAATCTGTGCTGTCAGACCCTGTTGCACACTCCATATATCCTGCTCGTATTTCCTCGTTAAATTAGGATAAAATGTTCCAGTGGGGGATGGGACAAATGAGAAATCGGAGTGAGCAGATGCAAGTGATGACTAAGGGCAAACAACACCCCGTGTGCAGCTTGGCAGGGCTGCTACTGCTGGGTAGGACAAAAAAAATCTGAGAAACCTGAAGGGAAAAAGTCAATCCACTTTGGTTTAATATTAATGGAAGGATAATTGTCTAAATCTAACTTTTGTCTGAGAGGTGAAGAGAAATGTTAAAACTGAACGTTCAAACAAAGCTCCACCTGCTTCATTAGAGCCTTGCTGATTAAGATGAGTATGTTCTAGCAGTTTCCTCATTGACTTTCTCCACTGCAAGGTAGCATCCATGGGTTATGTGGATAAAGGAATGGTGGGACCATTGTGTGTGTGCACAAACTCCTGTGAAATGCAGGAGTCCCAGTACAGAGCTGCAAAATCCTGCTGAAATAACAAAAACTAGTTTTTCCTGGGGTTTCTGGGAAGGTGTTAATGTGTAAATGTGATGGCTTATCCCACACAGTGGAGAGTTCTTAATGCTTGTAGCAAAAATACAACCTGCTCATAGCTCAGTAGCAATCCTCAGTGCATGCTCTGGGAAAGCTTTGCCTGGCTCCTCTGCACAAGCTGGGGTGCAGCAATTCTGAGAGAAAGCCCAAATCTGATATGATAACGTCGAGCATTTTAGATTAGATTTATCTTATCTACAAGTACAGTGTGAGAAAGGCCAAGATGGGACTGAGATAGAGAGGGTTGCTGTGTTTTCCTACAATAAAGGACAAAAATGGGCCAGCCTTGGGGCTCACAAGCTTTTGTAGCTCAGCAGGAACTCAGGAGCCAGCCAGGGTTGGGTTTAGTTCCCATTTAGCTCATGGATTATCAAATCTTCTTGGATCTCTGTCACTGATAAGCAAAACCACGTGTAACCTACCCAGATAAAAATGTCTGACAATTGGGTCACTCCTTTATTTTACATGCCCTGGCTTCAGAGTAGTTGGAAAAGTGGGCTCTGCCCAAGGTTTGGCTCCCTGCAGTTTGCAGGGGTTGCAGCTGACTTTCCCCACAGCTCCAAGGCTCGTGTGTTACCAGCTCAAGCAAGTTTGGAAATGAACAGTGGGAAAGTAACTTGTGCAACTTTGGTTTTTGAATCAGAATATAATTTTGAAATTCAGACAGTAACCCAAGCACAGTCTCACATTCAGCACTGCAAAGACAAACTGTATTTTCCAGTTGTGGGTTTTTTTACAGGACAATTGAGCATTTTCTAGGATTAATGATTTTTTAATGCATTTTCTCAAAGGAAAGAGCATCTCAATAAAATTTGTACATGTAGGGTTTTCTGCAATTGTAAAAACTGGCATTTCTTTCCTGATTCTACTGTTTACTGATTTATTTTAGCTGTTTTTGGACCAGTGCCAGAGCTATCTTAGCTGCTGTCAGCCTTGGTCTTCAGTCCTTGGGGATGACGTGTTCCCTGATGCCCAGAGCGCCACTGGTGAGTCACCACCATCTTCCTTTCTTTAAGCACCCAACAATTTGTTTCTCCAGAAGAACCAGTGATGATGAGCCTTATTTAAATTACCCTAAAGCTGCTGGGACTTGGGGCTTTTCCTGCAGTCTGTGGCAGTAGTTTTGAACAGTGTAGTTACACCATGAGTGCAATCACAGCTTGCTGAACTCTGCAGGAGTTCTCCTCCCTGTGGAAAGCTGTGTGAAATGTGTCTTAGCAGGAAACTGCTCATGGTCAGGGTTAAATTTAAAGATAGGGATGTTATTTAGGATAATCCCACTGTTGTAGTTTCTGTGGAGCCCCATCAGGCTGCACACCCAGAGAGGTTTTTCTCTCCTTTCACAATTGGCTGAAGGTCAATTTACTTTGAATAACACATGCAGTGTTGATTTCTGGAAGGGCACAAGGTGCCTTATCCCACTTACATCTCACTCCAGATTTTTCAAATGGGGAGCTACCAGCAGAACCACAAGTGCAGAAACACACCCTAAGAATCACAAGATTTAAGGTCACCTGATTGTTCTGTTTTAAAGAGCTGTATTTGGGAATCTCACCTTAGATGAGCTCATGTTTATATAACTAAGTGTCCCCTGCAAGCCCAGGAAACAAGAATTTTGAGGATGATCCATGTGGACCTTAGAGCACCTAGGAAAACTGGCTGTTGAACAAAAGAAAAAGTCTTAACTTTATTTGCAGAGGCTTTACCTGACACAGTCTGCTCACTTTTGCCTGTTCCTTTGCTGTCTGTTGGGAAGGTGCCTTCCTGCTTTACAGGAACATGCAGGAAAAATGTCCTATGGATGTGCTATTCCCATCTGTCTCATGAGAGGAGATTCTGTGAGTTGCTCCAGGGAGTGATCTAACTCACAAGAGTGATTTTTAAATCTTAGTGATTATAAAATGTATCGCTGGCAAAAATATTCCTCCTCAGCACTTACACATTGGGGAAGGAGGGAAAGCAAGGGGGCACTCACATCTTCTTCCCCTAAATCCTCAAACCTTGGGGTGTTTGTGTTCTAAATCCTCTTCCTGAATCTCCTGGGAGGAGGTTTTTCATATGTGTGTGTATATACATAAAAATAAATATAAATTTCTAGTTTAGGGTTACATGCAGCTCAGGCCAACCTATGTTGTCCAAGGCACTTTTGTACAGCAGGGGCTACCCAAAATCTTGGTTAAGTTCAGCCACACACAGAAAATTAAAACAAGTGCCAAAAAGTTCAAGTTTTCTATTAAAGAAAGAATTGAGTAGCCTGGAGGAGAGGTAGTACTGGTTGTAAAGCCTGAGCAGGGCAGAGAAGAGGTTAAGACAGCTGTCACCTCAATAGTGAACAGATTTTTTCAAAAAAACCTAGAGGCTGTAGATCATATCCATCTTAAAATATTGAGAGAACTAAATATGGAATTACAGGTGTGGTCTGAGGACTTGTGGGGGATGTCTGAATTCATTGATCTGGGCAGGAGAATGGCAAATGTGGTGCCTGTACACAAAAAGAGAAAAGGATTGGTAAAGGCAGCACAGCTCCAAGTGTGATCCCAATAAGGGAAGTTTTAGAACAAACTCTGAGGGAAAAAAACCTTGCTGAACAAAGAGGTGACCAGAAAGTGTCACAAATGACACCAGGGGTTTATCAGAAGAACATTCTGTTAGATAAGTCATTCTCTTGATGAGAAAACTAATTTCCTTACCAGACATGATAGAGTGAAGTTAATTACCCAGAGCTACAACTCAAATCACTGGGAGTGAGAATGAGGAGATTCCTGCCAGAATTCAGAGGGGGATGTGGAGCAGTCTGGGGCAGGGGGGTTCTTTTTGTTTTCTTTTTTGTACATTAAATGCCATGTTGGAGAGGGCACTCCTTTTGTTCCACGAGTTGTCTGGAATGTGATCTTCCCATGGATATTCCATAGCAGTAGGTGAATATTACATATATATTCACTTGTATATGGAAGTGTGTTTGTATATATATGTATATCTTTACATACACCTAGGTGTGTGCTGAGGGAATTGAAGGCAGTGCCAAGCTGTTGTCTGCGCAGAGGACAGGACAGTGCTACACGGTCCAGGATGGGTCAGGAGGGGAGGCACCGCAGTGGTGCCACCTCCCTGCTCCAGCAGAGCCATCCCAGAGCACAGGGCACAGGATGGTGTCCGGACAGCTCCGGAACATCCCCAGGGAGGAGACCCCACAGCCTCTCTGCTCAGGGCTGGGCGCTGCCCAGGGAAGTTCTTCCTCATGTCCAGCTGAAACTTCCCGAGCCTCTGGTGCCATTGCTGGGCCCCCGGAGCAGGGCCTGCTGCATGCTCTGACACCTCCTTTTAGATATTTATTTATGGATGAGCCGTCTCCTCCCGAGGCTGCTGAGCCCCAGCTCCCTCACACTTCCCCTCAGGGACGCTCCATCACAGCCCCGGGTGTGCTGCTCGGCACACAGCGCCCCGGGTGTCCCGCCCAGGCCGGGCAGAGGGGCAGCACGCCGTCCCGCCGTCCCCAGCCCACGCTCAGGGCCGGCCCGGCCGGGCTCTGAGGGCACCGCGCGGCTCCCTCAGCCCGAGCGCCACCGCCCGCGCCGCCAGGGGGAGCCGCCGCGCGCAGGCCGCTCAGCCGAGCGCCGAGCGCG